AAGGTGAAACCATCAAGACATTGGTTCAAAAAAATTTACTCAAAACCAGAGTTAAAATAATCAGCCTGTGTCACAATGAGGAGAGTTGATATTTGGGGATGAGCGGTAGGACATCTAATCAGATGCAGATGAGACTCTCATTAAATATTCAAAGTTATTCCCCAGAGCAAAGGGGAAGGTGACGCAAGGGCCTCTTTCTTTCCACCCATTGTTTCCTTAAAGACAACCCCCACACAGGAATCATTTCTAAATTCCAAAGACTTTTGTCCCCCTGAAATAATGCCCTGCAAAAACAGACTGGAGTTAAGTATCTGCATTGGTACAGCAAAAAAAAATTATAAACTGAGGAAATTATGAGAGAAAGAATATCCTTCAATTCCCTTAAAGCTGCTCAGATAACGACCCTGTTTATTCTCTGTCCTCTGAGGAGCCACAGAGTTTAACAGAAACAACAGCAACAACCACAACCAATGTTTACTGAGTACTTTCTCACCAAACTCTACTATTAGTCCTATTTTACAGATGAAGAACTTAAGGCTGAGAGAGCTAAGTCACTTGTCCAAGGTCACACAGTGGCCAAGTGGTCTTGGGCAGTGTTAAAATCTTTGTTTGGACACTCCTAGGTGGGTGACCATGTCCCCGTTTGCCTGAGACAGTCCTGGTCTATGACAGCTGTCCCACTACAATTACAAAGAGTGTTCCCTTTCACTCTCAAAAGAGTTGTAGTGTGGGGGGCCAGCCCCACGCCTAGTGGTTAAGTTCAGTGCACTCCACTTTGGTGGCCTGGGTTCAGTTCCTGGGCACGGACCTATACCACTCGGCAACAGCCATGCTGTGGTGGCAACCCACATGCAAAACAGAGAAAGACTGGCACAGACATTAGCTCAGGGCGAACCTTCCTCAAGCAAAAAAGAGGAGGATTGGCAATGCATGTTAACTCAGGGCCAATCTTCCTCACAAAAAAAAAAAAAAAAAAACCCAAAAGACTTCTAGTGTGGTTGATAAATCATATGATCACCCCACTTACAGGGCCTAGCAGGAGAATGCATAGGGTGTGGGACTGTGTGGGGTCCAAGAAATGATTGATCAACTTGTCCCCTTGGACAACCTACTCCTAAGTGAGTGTAGGCCCTTTGGAAGCAACAGCAACTCTTTAACCCCACAGAGCCTAGAGAATCTTCCCGGGCAATCTCCTGGTTTCCCCGTTCCACCCTGGCCTGCCTCCCCTGCTGGACAAAGACTGGAGCTGACACCCACAGATTGTTCACTGGGGTCACATGGTACTTTGGAGACCCACCTGTTGAATGATGACCCAAATCAAAACCCCCGTCCCTCTCTCTGTGTGTCTGTCCATATGAGATTCCCCTGACAATTAAAGTATCAGATTCTGGTTTCAGGAAAACAAAAGTCAGCCAAGCAGCTGCACATCCCAGAGGACTGAGTTTGCACATCCCATCCTTGACGATCTGGTTGGCATGTGCTGTATACATGGGGGATTAGCTACTTCAGAGGAGTGGTAATGGGATATGGGCCTTTGACATCCTATTCCGATTCAGGGAGGCTGGGAAGGCCTGGCGTGTATCAGGAAGCTTAGGGAAATCCATGGAGACCCAAAGGTGCAACTCCCTCAGGACTGACTGCTTTGGTCAGGGCTGGAGTGTTTTCCTACAATAAGGCTGCTGACTTGCTCCCTTCCCTGAGTCTGTAAGGAACTGGGGTGGGAGAGAGGGCAGCACCCCAGCACCCAGCACGCAGGCCATGCTGGAGCCTCAGCCTCACTGAGCCACTGGAGCTGGGGTAGCTCTGGGGGCTCACTGACTCTGCGGTCCTCTCCGTGTGTAGCCCTTGGGCTAGCACCCTATTCCTGAGGCTTCAGGGTTTGTCCTGCTGCCGCCCTGTCTGACCTGACCTTCCCTGGATGCTAAGGGGTTTTCTGCACTTCCCCCAAGTCTATTCAAACAGCTCCTCACGGGATCATCCCACAGCTCAATGTCCCAGCCCCAAGTGTCTGCAGACCTGAGAATGCAGGCTGTGAACCAGAGGGGCACATTCAAATCCTGGCTCCTCTCCTTAAAAGCCGAGTGACTGTGGGCAAGTTCCTTAATTTCTCCTAGCCCCAACTTTGTAGGGTGAGTGAGTATTAAATGAGAGAAATGCCTCAACACAGAAGGTAAGTGGTCAATATGTGGGAGTTGCTTATTATGATCGTCATCCTGCCTTTAAAATTTCCAACTACAGTTTTCCCTATGTTGACCTACCTGGATTAACATCACATTTATTAGGCATAAAAAGGCCAAACTTGGGGCACATATCTAACAAGAGACGAAGTTGGAACCTTCTGTGAACTTGAGCAAACTTCCATGCCTCAGTTTCATCACTTGTAAAACAGAAATAACAATAGTGCTCAATAACAAAGAATTTTTTAAAAAATACTAAACAAGATAATTCAAGCAGAATATGTAAAACTTTGTGTAGCACATAATAAGCACATAGTAAATGATAGCCAATAATAATAACAATAATTTCATGTTACTCACAAGAACATATTTAACAATCCAAAGACTCTTAAACCTGGGGGGAAACACCTTAGAATCTAGTCCCACTGTGTAGCCAACACTATATTTCTTTGAAGTTATAAATTTTTTAACTGCTTTTGAACACCAGGCCCCGTTGAAAAGCTGGCGAGTGTTATGTTTCCTTTTCCTTGAAAAAAATACACAAACTATTTTGCAAACCATTTCAGAAGATTCTTAGATTCTGCTGAAGTCATTCTCATAGTTCCTTGGACCCTGTGTGAGAAATTCCTGCCTTGGACCACCTAAGATAGGGCATCCATATGAGGCTGCTTGAATGCTTCCAGTAACAGGAGCCTCACCACTCAGAGAGCAGCTCACTCTGTGGTTGGAAAAGTCCAAGTGCTAAAAGCTTCAAAATTCTTCCTTAAAACAGGACACGAAAAGATGCCTCCCGAGGTCCATCTCTGGAGCAACAGGGGTGGCACAATACCTTTCTCAGGTGCCAGCCCTTGATGTTTTGGGAAGGCAGGGGCCATGCTGTGACACATCTGATCCTCTCCAGGTTAAATGTGCCTGTCTGCTCAGCATTCCAGGTGATGGCTTCCAGGCCCTTTGTCACTCAGGTCACCCTCCCCAAACCACCTCCCGGTGGCTGTGGCTCATTTCCTTTGTCCAGGACACTGTGCTTTTATTAACTCCCCCTGAGTCTGTGCCGCAGTTCTTAGCCACCTCATCACATCCTTTACGCAGGTATTTAACGGACCCCCAAGGCCTCATCACACAAGAGCCGGGTTTCCCCCCCCCCCCCCCCCCCCCCCCCCCCCCGCCGCCCCCAACCTTGTGTTTGGGCAATTGATCTTTTGAACCTAAGCCCACCGCTTCACATTTGTCCCAATTAAATTTAGTCTCACCAATTTCTTCCCTAACACTCCACACCTTTGGGGAGTGTTTGGAATCCACATTCTATCACCCAGTGTATTAATTCTGTCTCTCAGCTTTGAGACATCTGCAAATCGCATACAATATAAGGAAATTAATGAGACGTGAGCATCTCCCTGTGCTAAGCTCAAGGCAAAGTGCCTTACACACGTTCTCATTCAACTTCACACCAACTCTATGAAATAGGCATTGACATCTATACTCTCATCCCTGTTTGATAAACAAGAAAACTGAGTCTGACAGAGATCAATCACTTACATTAAGGTCACCCAGGTACCAAATAGCCAAGCCAGGATTTCAACTCAGGCCTAGCTGAGCCACACTATGTCACCACACCCTCAACATTTCCACATTGAATGGCCTCTTTCTAAATGTCTGTCTCTCCAACAAGGCTATGGGATCTCTGACAATCATGAGTAGGTTTTGTCTCTGAATTCCCAGCCCCTGGCAAGTGCCTGGCACAGAGTAGGTGTTTTATGACTAGTGGAGGAGGGAAAGCAAGGAAAGAGATCACTGTTGGCTAGTGTGTGAGAGAACGCTTCTTGAGCTAAGCCCTGATGTTCAAGTTCTCCTTTTAGAGCATTTATTTTGCCCTGTGGAACATTAGGATATATTGTCATCCACACATGACCAGATGGTTCTGTGTCTCCAGGACCAAGCTGGCCCCAAGACTGTGATATTCATTCACCCGAGTCATTGGAAACTGATCCAGAAGAAAGGCCCTGCATTCTCCTACACCCCTGTCCACCCCTGAGCCCAGCGGTGGGCTCTCCCAGTGTACCCCCACCCCACAGCTGGCCTCCTCAGCAAGGGGGCTGTGTGTTGGGAGGGAGAGGGTTCAAGAAGCCTCTGGTTGAGATTTCTCAAATGTTCTTGAGAAAATACCCAAATTCCTAACTAACTCAAACACTCTTTCTCATAAAACAGATTCTTGAGCAAACTCACAGAACTTTTACATTGAGGAATAGGGCTAAGCAGAAGAGGCTTAATATAAAATGACCAAACACCACCACTGGTGTCAAACTACCCTCTGGGTGTCGAACCAGTTCTGTCCACACAGCAGCACTTTTCCATGCACACCCCTCTCATGGCATACTATGACTTGTTCCTTTTCCTACAGACTGCAGGACCTCAATTCTGAAAACCGTCAAGAAGGAGTTCCACTAAACATATCTCTGGGGGTTAAGAGACTGAAAGAAAGACCCAGGGAAGGCAGTCTAGGCCCAGCGCTCACATGAAGCAGAAAGATCAAAAGTGCCATCTTGTGGTGACTTCACAACTTGCATGCTGCTTACCTTACCCCTCCTCAGTAATAGCATCCCCAGCATCCCAGCATCCCAGCATCCCGCTCTTTCCTTCAGAAGCCCCTTCCCCAACCTGTAAAGCCTGAGGGGGCTGTAAATCATGATGTCCATCCCCGCCTGGACATGTCCATTCCCAGAAGCAGGGAATGGGCATATCTGACCCAGGATGGCCAATCAGAGCTCAGCATCCTCCCCTACAGCACATGGATTGGCTGAGACATGGACACATAATCCAAGAAAGTCCATCAGAGACTTCACAAGATTTATTAGGTGGAAGCTGGAGAAAGGAGCTTCTCTTCTCTTTGATCACAAGCCGTAAGGATGTGGACTCAGGGCACCAGAGGTCATCACTGGGATCCTTTGAAGAAAACCTGGCTGAGAACAAAGCCAAAACACAGAACAAATTAGAGCAGAGAACAGTTATGGGACTCAGACCACATGGGATGCCCCTAGATCTAGCTTTGCCTGAACTCGTACCAGCTCTCTCTTCCCAGCTGTAGGAGCCAACTCATTGTGGTTTTGCTCAAGCTAGTTAGAGTCCAATCTCTGTCACTGTAATCAAAAGAGACATAACACATGAATAAAAGTAAAAAAGAAAAGGTCCAGTTGCAGAGAATAAATAACACTTACATTAACTTTATAATAAGACTTTAGAAAATTAACTATGAATAACAGCTCTATTGAACTAAAACTGAAATAACTATATAATACATTTTAAAGCCATGGATTTCAACCTAATAGATTAAAATAAAAAGCTAGCATGGAAGAAGGATCTCCATCAAAAGGTCAAAAAGAACTGATTGCTGACTATAATAGAACCCTGAGTATTTTGTATTGTCAAATATCTCTTTGCAGCCTGTGTGGCAATATGGAAATGTCCTCAGGAACAGCTGCATAAACCCTTTAAGCCAATAATCCCATTTCTAGGAGTCTGTTCTAAGAGAAGAATCCCAATCAAGGAAATTAATACTTGCACGGAGATGTTCATTGCAGCACTATTTACTATAGGTAAAAATAAAGAAACAAAAATGAAAGCAAACTCAAAAGATCAGGATAAAAGTGAGTGTGGTATGGTATGTCAATTTCATTAAATAGACATAGCTAGGCAAACTATTCATATGCCGACTATAGAAATACTTATTCAAACATTTTGAACACCAACAATAATTTACCGAGTTCTTATTATGGGCTATGTATTTCACATGCTTCATGTCTTTTAATCCTGAAATAATTTAAATGTTAGATACCCTTTTACAACACTTTTATAGGTGCAATCTAAAGCTTGGAGGGATTTAGAAGTTTTTAGTGAAAGTGACAGATGAAGGATTTGAACCCTGTAGTCCAAGTCCAAAGGCTGTGCACATGCCCTCTGTGCCACACTTCAGGAACCAGGGGAGGCACGGAGAAAGTCCCCTACTACGTGAATAGGCAGCACACGGCCTTTGTGGGAGCTGTCTTGTATGTTTAGTTGTCCTTTTCACGTTCCAGGCAGAGGTGAAGGAAAGAGCCTTTATTCAGCATCTAACACGGGCCAGGCACCATGCCGGGTACTTTGTTTCCGTTGTCTCCACTAACCCCTGAAGTGGTCCCTAGGGGGAGATATCACAATCCTTTATTTCTACAGAAGCTGAGTTCAGAAAGATTGAGATGTTTGCTCTCTGTCAGGGGCACAGCCCCTTAGCCACATGTGTAACAAGAAGATGAACAAGAGAAACCATGGAGACCTGCTCAGTGAGAGCAGAGGATATGGAGCTGGGAATGGTCCGGGCGTTCTGAAAGTCGGGCAGGGTATCTGTGCCATAAAGCCAGGGATAGGGAGAACAACATGATATAAGTGGTCACCATGATTGCACTCTTACTCCATACCAACACTGTCCATGATTATCTCACCTCATCCTAAGAGCGGGCCTTCCATCCACGCATTATTATCCCATTTTACAGATTGGGACACCCAGCAAGTAAGTGGCACAACCAGGCTACAAAACTTAATAAAGAGCCATTCCACACCACAGCACATGGCCTCTCTGGAGCCCAGCACTCTCCACACCTGGACGGTTGAGTCTGTGGCACATTTCCAAACACTGGAGACGGAGAGGGGCTGGGGTGGTTCCCCACGTGGCTCCAGGGGGGCTGAGGTTCCAAATGGCAGCAGCATAGCTGGTGGGAGACAGCAGCCCAGCTCCACACTAATTGTCCCTCTTTGTGGTGTTCGGTTAAGGACTCAGAAGAAACCAATCTTTGTGTCTTTTCATGGTTAAAATTCCACATGGAACAGAAACCTCAAAGCAGTCACCAAGCCAGTCTTTGTTGGGTTTCTAGGCAGTAAGGATGCTGCATCTCAACACTGAGCGCTCAGAGAGAAGGGCTCGGTGATTCAAAGGGGAACTCAACAAGAGCCTTTTCTCCCAAGTCCTTGCAATTTTGGACTCACTTTTAATCCCCGGAAGAAAAATTGGATCCCTTTTCTCCTCCACATCGCAATGCTGTTGCAAGTTCAGAAACTGTCAGTGGAAGATTTTCTACCCCATTCTGGTAGAATCAGTTTAGTTTTCAGAACCTTGAAACCTTCATTTTTTAAAAAGCTCAATACACTCAGAAATACATATTTATATATTTTTTAACTCAAGTTCCTAAATACAAAGAAATAAGTGAATTATAGTTTCACAAACAAGCTTCAATTGCATTCCTCCAGAATAAAGCGCCAGGCAGGTTTCTGAAGAAGCCACTCGATGGAAGCTTTGGCTTAATGTGCTTGTCTTAAAAGAGCACATTTACCCTGAAAGAAAAACCAAAGGCAGATTTAGGTGCCTGGGTTCTCCCTCCCCCAGGTAGGAAAGGGGCTGTTCCCAGCTCGAGGAAGAATAAACAGCTTCTAAAGGCAAAGACTTCTTGTCTTCTCTGGGCCTTGAAGTCCTCTCTGGGCCACTCATCACCATCATCATCAAAACTGTCACTTCTAGAGCAGCTAAAATGTGCAGGGCCCTGCCGGACGCATGTGACGTCCTTTACTCCATCAACTCCTCAAACCTTCTGGGGAAGAGGCATGCTTATCCCCACTCTGCAGATGGGAAAGCGCAAAGACTCTAAAGACCCACACAGCTAGCAAGTGGCACAGCCAGGGTCAGGCCAAAGCTGTCCGACTCCAGTCTGAGTTCTTTCTGCCCCAACCTCCTGCACCGCTGCCCTCCTCCAGTGCTGCACTGACCAGAGGATCTACAAACCTGGAGATCAGACTGTGGTGCTGAGGTGGGAAACCGTCCTCCTGCTCTTTAAGAGGCTTTCCGTTGACCCACCCCAACAGGCTGTTCACAAACAAATGTCCTCTGACTCTCTCCCCAGACAAAGCTGGACTCCAGACTCTCTCTTCCTTATTACTCCAGTCAGCCAACCAGCTGCACACAAAAACCCTGCCTGAGGATCCCGGGATCCAAAGGTGGCAATGGTTCAGCCATTTTGGAGAGCAGTTTGACAGAATATTGTCATCAAAAATGCCCATTTCCGGCATCCTACAAAGTACCTGAGGAGTACTCCATATATGGATGGCACACTCAAATGGGGCAATTAAAGATGATTTAACAAAGGAAAGTCAGTAAAGTGCTGAGGCCAGTTCTACCAGCCCATGAGAGACGATTGCTACATTTTCAGAATTTTCATGAGCCAGTTATTAAATCGTTGGTAGCTTGAAATCAGCCATGGTGGGAGAATTTACACCATAGAAATCCGGAAATGCTACAAATCAGGGTTGGGTTGAGTTTTGTTTTTCCCAGAGAGCCAGTTATTAAACATTTACTAGCATACCCCTGGGAGAATTTATAAAAATGGGCAAAGTTAAGGGAAATCGAATGGGATAACGCAGTCCCCTGGGGTTAGCAACAGTGGGGAGCTGTTAGCCATGGAACCCTGAAGGAGGGCCAGTGAGGAAGGGTTGCCAAACCCGGACAGTGTCGCTGGAGGGGAGGGCCATGCCACAGAGGCTTTGAGAGAGGTGACCCTGGAGGGCAGGAGGCAGGAAAAGAAATACCCCAACTCACCCCCTTCCCACCTCACCATCTCCGGCTCATGCCCGCCACTGACCAAGCCCACCTGAAAGCAGAGGGTGAGGGAGCCCCCCCAGTGACGTCCATAATAATCAGTCTCCAGGGGGCACCGTGCAGACGAATGAAAGGTAGAGAATGGAGCTGGGGATACGCTGTATCCGGAACAATATGCCACCAATTGTTTTTAAAAAACCCACTTTCTATGCATAACTACATACATATATTTCTGGAAGAGCCACCAAGTGCCTGGTAACAAAGGTTACCTCCAAGGAAGGAGGTTGGACAACTGGGGTCAGCAGAGGGAGACTTTCTTTTCATCAAACTCCCTTTCATACTGTTTGACTTTTATTCCTGTGCATATATTACCTTTTTAAAAGGAAGCAATACTTTTTAAGCAGCAATGCTTTTCTCTCTTTACACATTTGAGGCGCCTACTAAGTGCAGAGCTCGCTATTTGGTGGGACAGTAACAGACCACCATAGTGCACAGTTGCAGGGAGCACCCTTTGCTAAGAAGAGATGCATCCTGGAATAACGCAATGCAGCAACCCATAGTGGAGAAAGCTGAAGTCCCGATGATACGAGGTAGGATTCACACTGGAGGAAAACGTTCTCTTGCGAGCTGGACTCTGCCCCAGATTGGCTCTGGGATCTGGGTAACCCACCCGAGCTTCAGTTTCCTGGCTGTTGGTAGAAGGAAACCACTGCTATCTCGGTGGGGCAGGCAGGGGCTGGTTTAGATGCCAAGGAGAGGGGATTTCCTTCGAGGCAGAGACTCCGTGACCCCTGTCAAGGGACTTGGGGTGCAGCGGGGGGAGCTGCCCTCTGAGCACTTTTCTTTCCAAGTCCTTTGCACCCACCTCCCAGCCTTCCCATCTGGAAAAGGCTTCCCAGAGTAAGCAGATGCCTGTGGGAGGTGGGTACCGAGCTCCACCTTGTGGCTGCTCAAATAGTTCCCTGGAGGTGGCAAAGGATTCCCGGAGTGAATGCAGGGCTTGGAGAGGCTCCAAATAAAGACGCCACCCACCAGTTCACCAGACACTTTCGCCGCCTCCTCTCTCACTCTCTTTCAACACCGTGTCTACAGAGGAAGAGTGGCCCCTGTGAATGTTTACCCAGGTCCCACTTGGGACCAGGGCTGCATGTCAACTCCTGATAGCCCCTGCTGGTCAGGAGGGGGCCCTCAGAGGCCTTTCAAACAGTGGCCACATCCATCCGCTGAGGCCCTCAACAGGACAAAATACCCAAACAGAATGTGACAGCATTTCTCTTCTACATTTAATAAATGAATGCTTTGAACCCCTGCCAAAATACTTAATGAAATTTTGTCATACGATCCATAAGATTTTGGCAGACTTAAAAATATTAATTCGTAGTGTGTAATATGGTATCATCTAGAAACAGGCAAATTCAAAGTGGTATGATACCTATCTTCTCTCCAGCCTGTCATTTTTAATTATGAACTCATTGGTGATAACGTTGAAATTTAAATGGCAGCCCCTCCCTGAATGGGAGACGGGACCAAGTGACTCTCCTGCCAGTGCTGGCAGCTGGCCCTCTGGCTCCCCTGTATGGAGCACTTCCTAAGTGAGAGGCATGCACAGAGCACTTGCACACATACACAGCTCCGATTCACTCCCACAAGATGTTTCGGAAAGCACATTCGGGAGCACATTCATTCCTCCGAGGGGAGGGCTGGGCAAGAGGACCCAGTTCCTACACCTGCCACCGAGGGACCAGGGATGCTTCTAGTAAAATTGGAAAGGGTCTCGTCCATCAGCCTCTTGGTAACCCAGATGGAGGGACTGAGGCCCAGCAAGGTGAAGGGTCTCAGCCTAGACCTGGCTCTGTCCCCACTTCCCTCTTGAATGTTCCATCATGGAGCCACGCTGTCTCTGGTTGAGGCTCAGAGAAACATCATCTTTACTGTGACAGAAAGGTGGAGGGAGGCCATGCTTACCTGAATCTACTGGACCCCATTCCCTGGGGAACATTGTGAGCTTCCCCATGTGTTTAGCACCACAGTCTTGGGGGCTGAGTTCTGGAAGTCTCCAACAGGTCACCTTGTCCAACCGTCTTATTTCACAAATGGGTAAACTGAGGTCACAAAGGGAATGCAGCCTAGTTATGAGACCTTGACAGGGGGAACAATCCCTGGGAGGCTCAGGCCTGGGAGACAGCCAGGGGCTGGAGGGCAGGGCGTGGGCAGGATGGTCAGGGCTTTGCCAGCTGCGTTGTGACCTGTCTCCCTGTAAAACCAGAAGCAACAATTGCCTCTTTGCGACCAGGGTGCAGAGAAAGTGGTTTCTCACAATAATCCTAATGGAAACTAAGAGAAAGAAACAGAAGGCATGTCTTTCTTTTTTGAAATGAAATAGAGCACTTGAAAAATAAAAGACGTTTATTCTGAACAGTAAAAAAGAAACTCAGTGTTGGAGGAGCATTTTCTTACCACCCATCTTTCAGTCTCCATTTAAGCGTGTCCTCCTCCCTGAAGCCTTCCTAGTTCTGCCAGGGAGACTGGAGTGCTGCCCTCCAGGGGGGGTGCTCACTGCCCCCCTGCTCTCCTCCACCATGGCGCTGGTCCCTTCCCCATCTCCTCACTAGATGGTGGGCCCCCCAAGGGCTGAACCTGGGGCCATGGCTTCTCTGGGACACTCCCAGGGCTCGGCTCAGCACGCAAACCCAGCAGGTACTCAGTAAATATTTGAGACCAACTAAACGAGGAGCTACCTGGACTCATCATTAGTTACAGGAAAGTACAAAAAGCTGATGAATGCAACTTTGTAAATCTCAATATGGAGGAATCACAAAATACAGATGAACAAAGTCTAATACAAGGTATCTTTGAGAAACATGATATCTACACATAAGGTTTACAGGGTTTCCAATTCAGTGATCTTCCCATAAAAGGTCTCTTCTAGCTCTCAGGTTCTAGAACTCTGGCTCACACATGGCCCACAAGGGTTTATTAGCTCCAGACTCAAGGAAGCAAAGGCCCAGGGGAGGAGAAGCAGTGCCAGCCTGCAATGGGGTCAGAATTCCATTTTATTTTATTTTAAAGATTTTATTTTTCCTTTCTCTCCCCAAAGCCCCCCTAGTACATAGTTGTGTATTTTTAGTTGTGGGTCCTTCTAGCTGTGGCATGTGGGACACTGCCTCACCATGGCCTGATGAGCGGTGCCATGTCCGTGCCCAGGACTTGAACCGGTGAAACCCTGGACCACCGAAGCAGAGCGTACAAACTTAACCACTCGGCCACGGGGCCAGCCCCGTCCATTTTATTTTGTTTGTTTATACTTTTCCTTTTTTAAAACCACTCACCTGAATATAGAATATATACACTTAATTTAAATTTTTTAAAAATAATAAAAAGATAGAAGATAAATGGTCTCACCCCCACTCCTGTGCCCCACCCACTCATTCAGGCAACCCCTTAACAGTTTCATGCGCACGCCCCAGAGTTTCCTCAAGCTTACACCAGCAAGGTGAATATCTATTTTATATCCCCTCTTCCTTGAACATGAACCATGGCATCCTACACTCACTGTTCTCACCTTAGTCTCTGCTGTTGTTTTGTTTTGCTCTCTTAATACGTCTTGGAGACCTTTCCGTATCAGTACATAAAGAGCTTGCTCGTTATTTTCTTGTAGCCACATAGCATTCTTCTATACGTTTGTGACAGACTGTATTGACCGCTCCCCTATAGATGGACACATAGGTGGTTTCCACCTTTTATATTTCAAATATTGTAGTGAATAGCTTACATCATTTCACAGTTATGCAAAAATACTTGCTTGCTCAGGTTTTGTCTCTTTTCTGGAGCCCCTCCGAGCCCTTCAAACCAACCCAGATCCCTCACTTCTTCCACACCTCCCTTCAGTTTAGTTGCTGAGATCTTCTAGTGCCCGTGAGGAAGGACGGACGTGGGCAGCCCAACCTCCCAACTCAGCCCTCTCCATTCTGGAGGCAGAGCTGTGCCCCCCAGTTCTCCCGCGTGCCCTCCAGCCCTCAGCCCACTCCTCTGCCCACCCGCCCAGCGCAGGCCTGCACACCCAGGGAGGACTAGGGAACACTTCATGGGCAGTGGAGCCACACGTCCTCTTGAGTTCTTGTACTACCATCACCCTCTCTCACCAACAGGTGGCAGTGCTTCCCACCTTTCGACAACTAAGATGCTCCACAGGCAGCCCTGCTCCCCGAAGAACAATAAACTCCTGAGGATGGGTGTAGCCTTCGTGACTTTTCAGTCCTAGGATTGTCCACACATCTCTCTACAGGATCCTCCCAACAGCCTAAGGCCATGACTACGATTTTCTCTGGTTCCTGCCTCCTCTGTCCTTTTCCACGTAGCAGGTGTGTGCAGCTTGTATTGTTTCCCTGTCTACTAGGAGACAGAATCACCTAGTGGTTATGAACTTGGGCTCTTGAATCAGACTTAACCCCCAAAACCCAGTTCCACCACTGACTTGCTGTGCAACCTCTGACAATTGACATCACCTGTCTGAGCTTCCACTGAGCCCTCCACATGACAGGAGTGTAACAGTGCACACCTCATGGAGTTGGTGTGAGGATTAAATTAGGTGTAATGCTCGCACGGTGTGGGCACACGGCAAGTGCTCAGTAGATATTCGTTCTTATTCATGTTACAATGATATGCACTGTCTGTCCAAGATTGGTGCCTCACTCCTAAAGGCTTTCTCGACATACACTGATCTTCCATCAGCTCTTCACACACTACAAGCTTGTTCCTGCCCCAGAGTCTGCACTTGCTGGGGCCGCTGCCTGGAATGCTCTCCCTCTAGCTCTCCCCATGACTGGCTCCTTCTCATCTTTCAAGTCTCAGCTTCCAAGTCATCTCCTCAGAGGGTTTCCCTGCCACGTCACCAGAGTAGATTTCTCCTGGTCTTCCCCACAGTGGCACTCTGTTTGTTTAGCACTCATTACCTCCTGCTGTTGTCTTAGGCGTTTGTTCATTTTTGTGACTATGGTCTGTTTATTCATTAAAATGTAAATTCCAGAAGGGCAGTTCCACTGGGTTTCCAGCACTGCACACAGAGACCCCCGCACCTGAGAGCCACTTGATAAACGACTGGCCGAGTGAACGAGAGAAGGTAGGCAGAGTTGTACTCGAGTTCTGTCCCCTGGCCGTTTTACACGCTCGTGTTTTGATTCCCAGCCGAACACCAGCTCTTTGAGGCAGGAAGGAGGTTTTCTCCCACAACCAGCCCCCAACTGGACCCACTGCCAGTGCTCAGTGGGCAGAGCCAGGACTTAGATGGGGGGGGGGGCAACTGAGAGGGCTGCTGAGGGCTAGGTAGGACGGCAGAGCCCCTCACATTCCCACCCTAAACATATACCAGGGGTGATTCCTGGGACTGATGGAGATGTGCCTCTGGCCCTTGCTACACCAAGTGGCTTTCCTTAGAACCAGTCCCAGGTCTCCTCCAGCTGAGGGTCGCCCACCTAGCTGTGCCTTGCCCTCAGCAACTGCTCATCCTCCACCCACTGGCTTATGTGCTGGTGGAGAGAGAGTGATGTGATGCAGAGTGACCGCTGGGGCCAGGGAGGGTGGCTTTGACCAGGACCATCAGGGTGGCCTCCTCTGAGAAGGAGCCGGCAGGGGGAGAGAGCTCCAGAAGGCACAGCAAGTGCACAGGGACTAGGTGGAGACCAGTGTTGCTGGAACAGCGAGGGCAACGGAGGGAGGAGCCAGCAACGAGGCTGAGACATCCCAGGTCAGCAGGGGCAGATGACGCAGAACCTTGTTGACTAGGGTTAAATGAAAAGAAGGGGCATTTTCATCTAAGGGCGATGGGAAACCTCTGAAGGGTTTTAGACAGGGAAGTTAAGTAATCTTTTACCCAGGAAAAGTTGACTTAGCATCATGGCGATGAATGAATTAATTAATTAATTAAATGGACAACTACCAAACCAATGACCCTAAGTAACCTGAGGTTTCTCGGTGCCAAGGTCATGCTGAATTCTTTAGGGACATGGGGACAAGAAGCCCAGGACAGCCCACAAAGTCTGGGGCCATGAACTCCATACCAAACAGAACTCAGAGAATAACCCCTTGGCCACTCAGAAAGGCTGCTGGCTTCAATTCTGCAGCACAGCTCGGCTCTCTGGCCCCTCAGTAGCTCTGCTCACTGCACAGATAGAGAGAGCAGAGAGGAGAGAAGATCGTTTAATGTCACACAGCCAGGTGACCCCCCAAGACTCTAAGTGAGGGCAGCACTCACCAGTGAGCCTGGAGATCTCCCGCTGGTCTGCAAGCCCCTGGGCATACCTTAAACACCTCCACCCCCCACCCCCGTCATCCCTTTTTGAGATGCAGAGCGTGAGGCCTGAGAGGAGAAGGATTTTCTCATGGTAGCAGAGGGAACCCAGACCTCTCGATTCTCACTAAGAAAACAAGAACAGAGACCAATTCAAACCCAACAACGTCCCCTGCATACCACGGTCACAGCCCTTCCCCACACGAGCAACCAACCAGCAGACAAGCACAGACCTTCTCCCACAGCTTCACCCACCTCCACACCTGCAACAGCTGCCCTCCCCCACAGAGCTGGGCTGAGGTTTCCATCCCATGTTCCCAGCCCCTAGATGGAACCGACCAGAGTGAGTGTTCACGTACAGGGTGAAAGGGACAGAAGGAGGCTGAGTGGTCAACATCGTGGGCACTAAAGCCATAGAGCCCTGGGTTCCAATCCTGGCTCTACTGCCTGCCAGCCCCATGATCCTGGACGTGTGTCTCAACCTCCTTGAGCCTCAATCTTCTCACACTTAAAAGGCAGATAAAAAATATACAACTCACAGGCTTGTGAGTTTAATAAAACCATGCATACTGAGGGTGTAGCTCAATGTCCCTCTCACAAACATTGCTCACAAATAGTGTTTATATCAATATGAATAATGATGATGATGACGGAGTCAATAGGTAAAGAGGGATGGGTTCTGAGCATCTTGACCCTGGGTGTTCCCAGAGCTCATGCAAAGGGGCATATTTGTTAAAACAAGAAAGAAGACTGGGATGTTTTAGAAAGATTCCCATTTTTCTAAACAAAGTTTTCTGC